ACTGGTGGTTTGAGAAGCGCTCATTGTGTTGTGTAGTTGGGTTTAGATGTGTAGTATAAATGTGAGATTGACCGATAGGTTATGTGAGTTGAGATGTTCTCACAGAAAACTTGTGCCAAAGTTCGGAGTGAGATGTGAAAGAAGAAGGTGCGTGTAAGTTGCTGCGTTTGAAGACTCACTCAACTTTTGTGGACACTGTTGTGACGGAGAGGGGCAATTTTGATAATACAACAGACAGAAGAAAAGGAAAGAGCAACATGAACACACACACTATAATAAATCACGGGCGACAGCTGACCAAATTTTTTTTTTTTTTTTTCTGTTTCTACCATTTATCACACCGAACTCTCATCACCAAACCCATCACAACTCATCTTCCACACCCTCTTCTTGTGTCACCAACATCTTTTTCTCAAAATTCCAAAATCATTTCCCAGGGTCCAAGTGGCCAAAAACTCACCCCACTATCCCCCGCCACAACCCTCACCGCCTACCCAAAAAGCGCCTAGATTACCCGTATCCCCAGGGCGGTGGTGCACGAGCCATCACTAGGTAATGGACGACTCTCACAAGCCTCCAATTGCCCATCAAGGTCCAGCAGCTCAACAACCACCATCATCTTCAAATACAACTGTGCCAAGACAGCAACCACAAAACCCACAACCAGAACGCGCCGCCGCTGGTCATGGTCCAAAAGTTAATAACACCCCCAACAATACAAAATGGTCCAAAAACAATAGCCAAAAAATAAAAAACCTTTCCAACTACATCAACAACAACAACCCAACCGGCACAAACCATCATTATCATCATCATCATCACCACCATCACTCCACCAAAAAAATGGCCGATCCCTTCGAAGTGCGAATGCGTTTCACAAACCAGCTGAGGCAACTCAACGCCTCGGTTATGTCTGCCCAAAAGGCGGCCCAGTTCGCGCTTAAACACCATGAGATGGGGGAGGATTTGCATTCTTGCATTTTGGAGCAGCTTGAAAAGGTCCCTTTACCCTCCGCCCCTTACATCCCCACATCATTACTGACAAAAGGACAGAACAACATGAACACCCGCGCCAACATTATGTACTTTATCGAACACTTCCTCGACCTTGCCCAGAAGGAATCCCACCCTGAATACGTTGTTCTCATGCAGCGGGACATCATCCGCGTCGTTGACGCTGTCGCTCCCGAAGATGGGACCGGGATCGCAAACGTCAAAGTTGCGAGGAAGGTCCTGCAGGCGTTGGCGGCAAAGTCGTTTCTTGATGGGGAGCTGCTGAGTCAGATTGAGGAGGTGTTGAGGGAGAGGTATTCTGCCGCGCAGCAGGATCTGGCGCTCATGTCGTCGCCTACTACTGCTGTTGGGGATGGTGATGTGGGTGGGGGTGGGGGGGTGCCTACGCCGCAGACTAGGGTTTCTACTGGTGGTGGTGGTGGTGGTGGTGGGAAAGGGAAGATGAAGTTGGATAGGAAGCAGGTTGAGCAGAGGATTGAGGAGGATAGGGAGCGGCATAAGAGGCAGAGGGAGGGGATTTGGGCGGTTAGTCCGGAGAATGAGGCCGAGTTGAGGAAGTTGTGGGAGGAGACGAGCGAGCTGGGGGAGGATGATGAGAGGATGTGTGATGAGGAGTGGGAGGAGTGGGAGGAGGCGATGGGGGGTGGGTGTGGGCATTGGGGGGAGAGGACCAATGGAGATCATCACTCTTGAGTGTTTTACTGGTGGAGATTTGTTATGGTACGTATGGCGTTTTGGGAAGGGGGAAATAATAACTTGGGGAAACAGCGGGTGTTTGGGGCGTTTATTTTTATTTTGATGGGGAGGAAAAGCAGGATTGGACGGCTGTTGATTAGGTGTGATACCATACCTATAGTGCTTGTGTATATATATATATCTTGTGGGACTTGGAGGTAGGTACAGGCCTCTTTGAAGAAGCGTCTGGGAAAACAACTGTAACTTAATTATTGACACGGGGTGCTGTTTTATAGCGACTACCTGCCTGCCTGCCTCCCAACACCAAACCAGAAACGCCGCTGTAAAATTTACACACAAAAGTAAACGTACAAAAAAAAAAACCAGAGAAATAATCCGCATGATCCTGGCCTGTTACCAAGCTTTGCTTGCTACCAAATTTACTACTACTACTACTACTACTACTCCTCCTCCTCCTCCTCCTCCTCCTCCTCCTCAACCCTAGCCTTCTTCCTCACACTCCCCCCATTATCGTCATTATCAACCCCCTCCGTCGTCGACTTCCTCTTCCCCTTCCCATTCATCACCACCACCACCCCCTCGCCCTCCTCCCTCAGCTTCTGCTCCTGATCCTCCATCTTGACAAGCAACCTCGCATAATCAAACTCAACCCCCTTCACCACCTCCCCCAGCTTCTCCACCCTCTCCTCTAGTTGGAGCTGTCCAAGCGCGTCCCTATTGTGCACGTACAGCCTCTTCTTGAGCATCAACTTCCAGAGCGCGTACTCCTTCCTCTCCGTCGCAGTGGCAACTTTTTTGCTCTCGTCCAGGCCGATGCCCGGACGGACAGACTCTCCCAGCCGGGACATGAGCTGCATTTCCAGGACGCGATAAAACTGCCTCTTTGTAATCTTTGCCTCTTTGCGTACCTTTTCGGCGGCGGCCTCGTCGATGATGTTTTTGGGTACGGGCCCTGTTTTGGGGATCGGGGTGGAGGTGTTGATCTGGAGGGCTTGGAAGGAGGGGAGGGAACGCAAACAGCGGAGGTCGTTGATGTAGCGCATGTCGTCAAAGGCCTCGTTTGGGTCCTCGACGGTGATTTCCTTTGTGGGGGGGTGGGAGAGGTAGGTTTGGTAGACCGTGTGGTAGAGGCGGGAGCCGAGGGAGAGGTGCTGGAAGGGGGGGAGGATGAGGAACTGGGAGATGCGGGAGCGGCAGGGGAGGGTGGTGATGTCGACTGTGGGGGTGCCGAGGGGGAAGTCTTCCTTGATTACGATGGGGTCGTTGATTGGGGAGGGGGAGGAGGTGTTGTCAGAAAGGGGGGTGGTTGGTGGGGTTGGGGGGAGGTGGAGGAAGAAGAAGCGGTAGACGGTGGAGTAGCCGGCGAAGATGTAGGTTGGTTTCTTGTTGGAGGGGTCGGTTTTCTTTTGGTAGAGGAAGAAGACGGTCCAGTGGCCGGCGTCTTTGTCGTCGACGTTGATGGCGGTGCCGCCCTCGATGAAGAGGGGGACGAGGATCTGGATGCGCTTGACGAGCTGCTTGACGGCCGGGTCGGAGAGGGTGCCTTTCCAGACTTCAAAGCGGCCGGCCTTGTTGGTGAAGCTGGTGAGTAGCTCGCCGGGGGGTGTCCAGTCGTCGCGGGGTTTGGCAAGTTCGGATTTCCAATCTTTCAGGGGTTGGAAGGCAACCTCGGGGAGGAACTCGGAGAGGACTTCCTTGATGTCGAGGGGTTCGGCGTCGCCTATGGCGGGGAACTGCTTGCTGAACTTGATCTGGAGGTTGGGGCGCATGTCCGTCGCATTGTAGCGGAGGTTGATTTGGAGGTCTTGGTAGCCAAAGATTTCCTCCTCTTCGCCAAAGATGGGGTATGTGAATCTGGGGTGGAATTTGGACTCTTTGCCATTGGAGCCTGGGGCAACGAGAGAGATCACGAAAGCCTCGTTGGCGGAGGCCGTCCCTAGGTAGGTAAGGAAAGCTGGTTAGTAAATTGGTTTGCGTGGAGTGAAGAAAGCTGGAGTAGCTTACAGGCGCCGTCGTCGTCGGCCATGGTGGTGATGCGGCTGGCGGTTGCTATAGGATGTATGCGGCTGGTATGCGGCTGGTAAGCAAAATAAAGTTCTGCGGCTGGTGAGGTTGTGCGGCTTGAATGCGACAACAAAAGCTTCAAGTCGTCGACGAGAAAGTGGTTCGCGACGCGCTCTAATTGTACGACGCGTTCCACTGCGACGGTTTAATTGAAAGCTCGGGCCACCTTTGACATCCTTGCTGCCACTTGAGCTCCAACTGGCAACATTCACAACGTTCACAACTAGGTGAATAACAAGAGACTGTACGAAGTCCATGTGTTCACTGGCCACCCGATACCACAACACCCCTCATTCACACTGTCCAACCGAGCCAACCCATCCTCTCCTCCTCGCAGTTCCTCGCAGTTTCCTCGCATTCTGCAATAACCAGCCCTTCCCAATCGAGGCTCCCACCAGGGGTTCTCACCTCAATCTGTACAACCCTAACCCAATCCAGCCAAGCGTAACGGGCTGGCGGGGCCGTCTTGCGCATCTTGCGGCCAGATCGTCCGCCATTGATCACCAACCTTTTTGCGCTTGCGACGACACCACCGTTATCTTTTTCTGTGCGGCCGTCGCAAATTTGGTGGTTGGGCCCGTCTTGACCCTCATGAATCGACAAAGGGGTCTTTCCCTCTCTCCTCCTGCTCCCCCCGTCAAATAATAGATATACCTATTCAATTTCAAATATCTACCTGCCTGGTGCCCCATCATGAGTGGCTTAATCTTCCTCGTCGTGACCTCGGTAAGTTTGATGATGCGCCAGCCACCCTTCCCCGCGGCGATTTGTAAGACAACGGGCTAACTCACTGTTTCTCATTTCCATAGGTGGTCATGGCCGTGGCGTATGTTCATCACAACCTTCTTCCTCAAGCCACCATCTAATTGACCCCCCCCCTCTTCGCGTTTGTTACAGCTCCTTCCTCGCCGGCGCACTCCCCTTATCCATCAGCCTCACCCAATCCCAACTCCGCTTCGTCGCCTCCCTCGGCGCGGGTCTTTTAGTTGGATCATGCCTTATAGTCATTGTCCCCGAGGGCATAGAAGCCATCGCCTCCGCCTCCTCCGACCATCACCACGACGATAATGCCCCGCACCGTCACCGTCGCGATGATCCCCCTCAGACCGAAGACGACGAGCTCCCAGCCTTCCACATCGGCCTCTCCCTCATCCTCGGCTTCGCCCTCATGTTCCTCATCGACCGCCTCCCCCGCCATCTAACAGACCGCTTCACCCCTCCCCCCCAATCCCGCCACGTATCCCTCGACAACCTCTCCACTCACCAACCCGATTCCGACCTCGAAGACGAGTCCTTCCTTGGAAGTTTGACACCCTCCCCGAAACAATCACGATCACTAGCAACGACAATAGGACTGGTGATCCACGCGGCAGCAGACGGGGTTGCGATGGGGGCGTCAGCGACAACATCAAACATGAACGTCGGCCTGATCATCTTCTTCGCCATTCTGGTCCACAAGGCCCCCGCGGCGTTTGGGCTCACGTCTACGCTGCTTAAGCAAGGGTTGAGCAAACGAGCGGCGAGGGTGCATCTCATGGTGTTCAGCCTGGCGGCGCCGGTGGGGGCGCTGGTGACGTATTTCATGGTGGGCATGTTGGGGGGGGAGCATTTGGAGGGGGAGGAGGAGGAGAGGATGTTGTGGACGGGGATGCTGCTCTTGTTCAGCGGGGGGACGTTTTTGTATGTGGCTATGCATGCTATGCAGGAGGAGAATTCTTTTGGAGTCGGGGGGCATGATCATGCTGGGCAGGGAGGTGGGGGGGGTTATTCAGAGGTTGGGAATAGGGGGAATACGGGGGGGGGGGGGTTGGGGTTGAGGGATACTTTGGGGACGGTGGTGGGGATGTTGCTGCCTTTGGCGACGAGGTTTGGGCATCATCATCATCATTAGGGGGAGGGGAGCTGATGTGTGGGTTTTTTTTTCTGATGGCGTTATTGGGACAAGGGCGGGCTTGGATAGCGATGTTTATTGTTTTTGTGGGATAAAAAGGGGGGTGATGGGTGTGTATGATTATCAGCGTAGCAGTGGGGTTGAACGAAAGGCGTTGTTTTTACTAGGTAAGTGTCTAAATGTACGACTACCACTACCATGCTTGATCATATCAGGTTTCTTTTCCTGGCTTTATCACTGGTATATGGGAATGCATGCTTCCTCGCTCTGGAGACCTAACGTGTGTGTAAGATTTGGACTTCACACATCGGTTCGGAAAGCAGGTCTCGAGTCAGGTTGTACAAAGTCGCCCTTACCTTCCGTACCTTGATTACGGGCCCGAAATAAACCGGCCACATCCATGGAGGAAGGGCCTGTAGGTCCGCAGGGTCAGGGGGAAATCCATACAGGATTCTGAGATGGGTGGCTGAAAATGTTGCTCTTCGAAGCTACTACACTAACAAAGTTGGTGGTGAGGTGGGTGATGTGGATATGCTTGTGCGTGTGTGCGGGGCGGATGGGCGGGCCTGGGGCTGGGACTGTTGGCCTGCTCCTGGTGGTGGGACGTTTCATATTTTGGGGGAGGGGAGAGAAGTTGTCAGGTTTTTTTTGGGCATGTCCGGGTGTTTTGGGTTTTTGAGAGATGAAAGATGAGCGGCAGGTTTAGACGATCATTTTGTTATGACAGGAGGGGAGCGTTGGATGCTACGATGAATCGTTGGGGTGGGTGTCAAAAGATGGATGGATGGATGGATGGGATATTCAAGAATCAAGAATCTTTGGCAGACATCCGGGTTTTGACTTACACAGTTCAGTTTCAGTGACACCAGGGTTCGGATTTGGGAGCTGACTGCAGTTGATAATATATGGACTGCCTTTTTGCTGCAGGGCATGATGTAAATCCTAGAAATAATACCTGTTGTGTATAGGTAGGTTAATTTCCATGTGGGCTGTGATGCAATCTACCTAGCCAGGGACCTGTGGTTTAAGCAGACAGGACCTAGGGTCAGTCCGTTTACGCCGTGTTGTTACCGTGGCGCTTTTCATGCAATGAGTGGCGAAGAGGCGTGAGTTTGTATACCCAGTGATATTTCCAGCTAGGTGGTTGTTAGTTCGGGGGATGCCGCTGCTATTCTTGTTGTAGACAGATAGATGAATGTGTGAGATCGGTGTATGCATGACGGGCATGGAGATGAGGTAGGAGGTCGGGGGTGCCCTAGTAAAATGCAAACGCCGGATTTGCTTCTTGGACGAGTTCTGTGCGAAGGTCACTCCGGCCCGAAGGGGGGGCAAAGTCAAAAGAGAAAGGGGGTGTTGCTCCATGTTATTGTTAGGTTGTGAGTTGAGATGGTGGATTCGAGAGGAGAGAAAGTCCCGTTGAGAGTCTCACGGGAGGGGGCTGGAGGGGGACCACCGCTAAGGCTGCTGCGGGTTTGGTGTGTCGCTCGCTGATGCTGATGCGATGCCGTGTTTTGATCACAGACTTGAGTAGAGATCCAAGAGTGAAAAATGTCAAATGCCCAACTGCCAGCAACGGCCATGGCAACATATACCTGTCCAGCCAGATGGGCCAAACGGTAGTATTGCTCGATAACACATCGTCGCTGGCTCCATTCGAAGGGGTCTTGATCGCAGTGGTCTGCAGGTGGCGTAACTCCCTGGCTGGAGTCGCGGAGGGGCGCTGGGCGTGCAGGTTTAGGCTTGGGTGGGGCCCAACCGCTGACACACACACACACACAGAGAGAGAGAGAGAGGGCGGGTACCAAGTTACAAGTCCCAGTCTCGAACAGAACAGAGCAAAAGGAAAGGAAAAGGGACGCCCCCTTCCCGCCTCGTATTTCTTCTGCTTCACCTCCCCTTCTCAGCCCTCACTCGCACCCTCACCCTCACCCTCACCCTCACCCTCACCCTCACCCTCACCTTCACCTCACTCACCCTTTGGTTTTGATGTGTAGCTAGTTATGGTTGTGTGTGTCTCGTAGCCATTCTTTGTTCCGTCATCCATCCCTTCTTTCCAAACGCCTCAGCTCGGGCAGCCCCAGCCAGACCCGTTCGAACTTGCGCGCGCGCGCGCCTCCCGTCGCCCTTAACAATTCCCTGTTTCGGTTTCGGCTCTGCCGTCTCCTCCTGCCAACTTTCAGATTGAATTGCCGGCCAACGCTGACCACCAACCACCACCACCACTACCAACCACCAACTGGCGACCTTCCCCCCTGGCCAGGAACCTCCAATCCTCTTCGGCCTCGACGACTTCATTTTTCTTTCTCTTGACACTTCCCCCCCCGTTCGAACCTCCGAGCTCCTCCCGTCACCGCGGCGACTTGAGTCGGGATATCCCGAGAATCACACCTTTAGCGGCTAGCGCTTCCCGGCACCCGCGACTCGAACATACCGCTGCCGTACTCGAAACTGCCCAAGTGTTCTTACGCCGCTCACTCTTTTTTTTTGTGTACCTGGATTTCGTGAGGGTGTGGTGGAAGAGAAAAAAAAATCATTACTTGGTCCCTGACATCGCTGTCGTCTTTCTCTCGAGTCCCCAGCCTGACCCGCCAGGCCGCCTCAACACCACCTACCTCTTCAACTGGTAGTGTGCCTACACATACGAAATGTCCTACAATCCACCAATGAGTTTCTCCGAGAGGAGAGGGGCCGTCTTTAACGAGGAGTTGTCGCTGAATACACATCATGGCATCAAGAGCCTGGCGCAACCGCGTCCCAGAGGGCCACCAACACCGAGTATGAGCACGCCCGCGGCAGACTTCGATCAGGTTACCGGCTCTCCACCACCTCCACCCACGCCGGCGGCATCCCCAGGACCATCCAACTCGAGGCCGGATTGGAAGAGCGCCGACGAAACCGAGGAGGCCTACCTTGCTACAATTCGCCAGTACTTTGTCAAGTGCAACAGTGCTCAGAGGGGGCGGCTGCTGTCTGATCTGCTGAACCTCTGCACCAGTCAACAGCTGAGCTTTGTGCACCAGTTTGTCAGCCCGCTGCTGAAGAAGGATCCATTCACTACTCTCCCAGATGAACTGTGTCTTAGAGTTGGTCTCGCGCTCCCCGGCTTTGCGCCTTTGCATGTAACTGACCGTGTGCCGCTTAGATCCTCTCGTTCATCGACGATCCCAAGGTGCTTGTGCGCGCATCGCAAGTGTCCCGAAGATGGCGGGATTTGCTGAGTGATGACATGACGTGGAAGAATCTATGCGTAAAGCACGATTATCAGCGTAGGATGTCGGAAGTCCAGGCTATGCGGGCAGAACTCTACGGTCATGCTCAGCGAGACGACGGTGCGGCCACCGGGGACTGTTCCGGCGCGCTCACGTCCAACTCGCTACCCGCGTCGTTTGGAAGCAGCACCGGCGCGCGGCCGAGGCTCACGTCGTACAAGTCACACTTTAAGCAGAGATATCTGGTTGATGTGGCTTGGAGGACGGGCGGGCGGAACATCTCCAAGAATCTCACCCAGGATGGCGGCGTGGTCACGAGTCTGCATTTGACCTCCAAGTACATCATTGTGGCTCTTGATAATGCCAGGATCCACGTGTTTGATACCGAAGAAACGCGCTTCGCACCCTGCAGGGCCATGTGATGGGTGTCTGGGCTATGGTGCCCTGGGATGATATCCTGGTCAGTGGTGGCTGTGACAGAGAGGTTCGGGTTTGGGACCTGACGACTGGGTAAGTTTCATCATAGGTTTGGTGGTCATTCGGTTCTGGGCTGACTTTTGGATCACAGAAACTGCCTGCATACGCTTAGGGGTCACACCTCCACGGTCCGCTGTCTTAAGATGTCAGATGCCAACACGGCCATTTCCGGATCCAGAGACACGACCCTTCGGGTTTGGGATATCAGAAACGGCACACTGATCAAGCTGCTTGTCGGCCACCAGGCCAGCGTCCGGTGTTTGGAGATCAAGGGTGACATCGTGGTGTCTGGCAGTTATGATACCACCGCCAAGGTGTGGAGTATTTCCGAAGGTCGCTGCCTTCACACGCTTTCGGGGCATTACAGCCAAATCTATGCAATCGCCTTTGATGGCTACCGGGTGGCGACTGGCAGTCTTGACACTAGTGTCAGGATCTGGAATGCGCAAACAGGGTAGGTTTCCATCTGACATCTCGTTAAAAGTCCAATGCTAACTCCCTTTTTTTTTTTTTTTTTCGTCCTGAGCACGCAGCGGAATATTGACATGTGTACAGGTTTGGAACTTCTCGCCACCAGAAGAAATGCTCAACGACCGCCCTGTTATCCCATTAAAGAGAACCCTCGACGCCCCAGCACCAGACGGCAGCAGACCACTCAGCGCCTTTGCTCTGGACTACCGGGGTGCTGGAAGCAGTAGTAGCGGCAATGGAATGCTTGACGTCGATATGCCCGACGCAGGACCGTCCACCGCGCCACTTCAACAGAGCGGTGGCATGTTTTTCCGGGATCCATGAATACGAGATGATTCTCAACGCTATGGTACATACACACATACACTTATGATGTGAAGTGAGAAAGGGGGGTTATCATTGTTGGCGTCATCCGCTGATTTGCTTATTTTCTTTTTTGGCTGGTTATTATTTTTGCGCATACCCCCATTCTTGTTGGTTTATTTATCTTTTGGGTCTCAACGGCAACATGATCGTTCTGTATCGAATTGGGGGGGGGGGAGGTGGTTGGTTGTATGGAAACGAAGGGTATCGACTGGATGGAGTTTTTTGTTATGTTTGTTGTATGTTGGTTATTAGGAAACTGGAGGGAGGAAATATGTGATAGCGCATTGTTATGGCGTTGTTTTTTTGTTACACACTTATTTCTCTCTCATCTTCAGGCTTTCTTTTTTGGACGGTGCTGTCAACTCTGTATAGAAGACAGCCGAATAAATATGAGAGCAGTGGTTTTGTTATCAAACATGAATGAGAGATGACGGTGGTGGTGGTGTAAAGTGGAGGAGGTTTGAGAGGGATGAGTGTGGGGTGAGCTGAGTGAGTGGATTCCGTTGCTGATATCATTTGCATTGGGCGTCGGGGGGGGTGTATCGGAGTCTTATCAGATCGGTCGGTCGGGTCGGATGGGCCGGAGAGCGATGCGGTGCGGCGGTGTTTTGTGTCCAAGTACGGAGTAAGACTTTTATCAACCCGTGTATAGACGAGAAAGAGAGAGAGAGTAAAAGATATATTCTCGTCTTTTGTCCTTGATATCTTGAAATTGAAAAGCTGCCAGGCCTTAACTCCGAACCTACTCCGTTCAGTGGTGGAGTTTCCAAGTCCCTGTCATGGAAGATGAAGTCAGCGGACATAGCACGGACGAGATGTGTTTCTAGATCTGAGATTTGGTGACACCAAAACTAAAATGCTTACGGGACTTCCCCCCGTGGGCTCCGAGAGGGACTTTTCTTCCATGAAGGTTGATAATACCGTAGCAATTGACTAAGAAAGAGCGATTTTTTTTATTCCATAAAATAAAAAGGGCCGAGAATGGGCAAAAACAGCTCTGGAAAAGTCCCACTCTTGAGGTTCGGTTGTATCCGTGCTTGCGGCCCCTCTTGTGTGGTGCTGTCACTGTTGGAAATGCTGGCAGGTGGGGACTTTTTGCAGCAAAGAGAGAAACCCCCAACCATGTCTGGCTTCGCTTAAACAAGGCTAGCGCGTAGATTCTCAACAAGCATCACCGCCCCCCAACGCCAAAAACTTGGGGGACCCATTCCTTTTTTGCAGTGCTGCTGTGCTGTTGCTGGGCCCTGCTGTTGCTGAGAAGCTGCCACACCTACCTCTCCCACCCTATCCAGCTCCCGACATCGCGGTCCCTTCTCGCTTGGACCTGACCATCCCTCTCCGTCCTCTTTTTTTTTTTTTTCCCTTCACCTTCTTTTTCCCTTTTTTTTCATTGCGCAACCAACCCTTCCCCCCATCACACAAAATGTTCTCGCGAGCCACCCGGTTAACAAGGGCGCTGCCCATCCGCGTTGCTGCTGCCCGCGCCAGCCCTGTCACGGCTTCGCTTGCCCGGAGGACCGTCACCACCAATGCCGCTTCGGCGCAGGTTGATAAGAGCTCCGTCCCCCAGGTATGTTCAGTGTGGAGGTGTAGCAGCTTGTGTCATGAGTAGGAACTGTGCTTTCCGGACCCACCGGGATGCTTGGATATCGAGGGGACATTATCGTTTGCATTGGGAGAATGTTTGCGATATATCTCTTTTATTTGCGAACGTTGTCAAGTCGCTCTTTTTTTTATTGTTGAGGTTTTGCGTCACTTTTTTGTTTGTCTGTCACTGATATTGTTGTTATTATCACGACAACAGTCCGAAGATGAGCCCTTCCATGTCACCCTTTCCGACGAGAGCTTCGAGACGTACGAGCTCGACCCCCCACCTTACCAGCTTGAGGTCACCAAGAAGCAGTTGAAGCAGATGTATAAGGATATGGTTGTCGTCAGGTATGAAAGGCACATGGGTTTTCGGAGGTCCGTGATCTTTGTGCTGACGCAACGATACCGGATCATAGACAAATGGAGATGGCTGCCGACAGACTATACAAGGAGAAGAAGATTCGGGGTTTCTGCCACCTCTCCACCGGTCAGGAGGCCGTCGCCGTCGGTATCGAGCATGCGATCAACAAGTCGGACGATGTCATCACCTCTTACAGATGCCACGGTTTCGCCTATATGAGAGGCGGCACTGTGCGCTCCATCATTGGCGAGCTTCTTGGTCGCCGTGAGGGTATTGCGTACGGCAAGGGCGGTTCTATGCACATGTTCGCCAAGGGCTTTTATGGCGGCAACGGCATTGTCGGCGCTCAGGTGCCTGTCGGTGCCGGGTTGGCTTTTGCCCAGAAGTATACCGGTGGCAAGAAGGCTACTGTTATCCTGTATGGTGATGGTGCTTCCAACCAGGGTCAGGTGTTTGAGGCTTTCAACATGGCCAAGCTTTGGAAGTTGCCCGCCCTTTTCGGGTGCGAGAGTGAGTTTCCAGACACTGCTACGAACATAGGGGTCATTGCTAACATTGTGGCTCTCAGACAACAAGTACGGTATGGGTACCTCCGCTGCCCGCTCCTCCGCCCTGACCGACTACTACAAGCGCGGCCAGTACATCCCCGGTCTCAAGGTCAACGGCATGGACGTCCTTGCGGTCAAGGCGGCCGTCCAGTACGGCAAGCAGTGGACTGAGGAGGACAATGGTCCGTTGGTTCTCGAGTACGTGACCTACCGCTACGGTGGTCATAGTATGTCGGACCCCGGCACCACCTACCGCACCCGTGAGGAAATTCAGCGTATGCGGTCCACCAACGATCCCATCGCCGGCCTCAAGCAGCACATTCTTGACTGGGGCGTTGCTCAGGAGGACGAGCTCAAGAACATCGACAAGGAGGCGCGCAGCTTCGTCAACGAGGAGGTGGCCGCCGCCGAGGCCATGGCCGTCCCTGAGGCCACCCCCAAGATCCTGTACGAGGACATTTACGTCAGAGGCTCCGAGCCCGATTTCATCCGTGGCCGCATCCTGGATGAGAACTACTACTTCAAGCAGTAAATGGTTGGAGAGTAGAGTGGTTGTGAGGTGGTGAGGTGGTGAGGGGTTGAACAAGAGGAAAAGAGAGAGAGAGAGAGAGAGAGAGAGAGCCGTTTATACAAACAGTGAAATTACTCGAGCTTTGCCGCTGAGCATTTGGTTTTTTTTCTCGTGTGGTTGGCTTTTTTTTGTACATTACCTTCCTAATCGTCCGTCATAGAGCTTTCGGAGGGAAAAATACGGTTATGAAGAAAATGATTTTTGAGATTTGGGAATGGGACAATGGTGCTTTTCTTTTCTATTTGCCTTGCGTTTTGCGACTGAGTAATACTTAGAATATGCGGACGGTGGTATACATATGGGATTGAGAAGCATATTTTCACATGGAGGGCAAGTCCCTCGATGCATTAAGCTGATGCCTAAGCTTGGACCCTTCGATGCTGCCTGAAGATGAACAAAATGGCCCACTTTGCTCATGTGACCATGCTACTTTACGCGAGAAGATTAGGGGAGGGAAAACGCGTCGGAAGCGCGTCACTCTTTTGTCCTTCCAATTGGTTTGTAGTCGTACATACCTGCCGATTTGAAGCACCCTGTCACCGCTGCCCGCCTGCCGCCCGCCGCCCTGCCTGCTGCCTATTATTATTATTATTATTATCAATATTGGACGTGTACTTTTTTTTCTGGTTTTTTTGCAACTACTTTTTATAAAACACTTGCTAGTTCCAGCAATAGCAAATTCAAGAAAAGCTGGCTCCTCGGCTTTTGTCATTTTTGTCTTTTACTGCGATCTTCCCGCGACAGCAACAACTTTTACGACGAGGATTTTATTGCTCGAGGGCATTGTTTAGTGCTGGTGGTGGGTTGATTACGATGCCTCCTAAGGGGAGTAGGCAGGCTACGCTGGGGTATGTATTGCCTGGTTGGGAGGAGGGGCGGTTGTTTTGTTGCGATTTATTGGGGCAGAGAGGACAGTTGGGACTGACTGAGTTGAACGGTACAGGAAATTCTTCACCCAGGCCAACGGCGCTGCGATTCCGGAGCCAAAGGTGGCGGCGCAAAATAAAACGCAGACGAAGTTAAGTTTTTCGACCAAGGTGGGGGGGGAGCAGAGCCCCAAGAGGAAGAAGAAGGATGAAGAGGAGGAGGTGAGTTCCGATGCTGAGGGGGGAGAGGAGGGGGGTAAACCGGTGGAGAAGAAGAAGAAACGGGGCCGGCCTGCTAAGGCTGCCATCATCACTACGACGGAAAAGAAGACGAGAAAGAAGGAGGTTGATGAGGATGGGGATGAGAGCATGGAGGATGCGGAACCTGCGCAGAAAAAAGCGAGGAAGGGGCGGAGGAGGGTGGTGAGGGATGAGGAGGATGGGGATGAGAGTATGGAGGATGCGCCGGCGCCGGTTGAGGATGGCAGGGTGTCCTCGCCGGAGGGGTATCAGTATGAGAAGGGGAGTGAGCCGAGGATGTTGAATGCGACGCCGAAGAAGAGGCAGGGAAAGAAGGTGAGACAGGATGAGAAGGAGTGGAATTTGGGGGTGGAGTCGCCGGAGGGGTATGATTATAAGGGTGGGAGTCCGCCGAAGCTTTTTAAGGGGGATAGGTTGGTTGCTGTTGGGGGGAAGAAGGTTGGGAAGGAGGAGGCGGGGAAGAAAGAGGGGGAGAAGGCCGGGAAGAAGGCGGTTGAGAAGGAGGAGGAGGAGGTTGTCAAGGAGGGAGAGGAGACGGCGTCGTCGGCTTCGGATGTGGAGATGGAGGAGGAGGAGGAGGAGGAGAAGCCGGAGGTGGTCAAGAAGGCGAGGCAGAAGGTGCAGGCTACGCTTAAGAGTGCTGATGAGCATCCTTTTCCTGATTGGAAGGCTGGGGAGCCGGTGCCGTATGCTGCTCTCTGCACTACGTTTTCGCTGGTGGAGCTCACGACGAAGAGGCTGGAGATTATGGCGCACTGTGCGCTGTTTTTGAGACAGGTTTTGAGGCTCACGCCGGATGATCTTTTGCCGGTGGTGCTGCTTATGATCAACAAGCTTGCTCCTGACTATGCGGGTATCGAGCTGGGCATCGGAGAGAGTTTGATCATGAAGGCTATCGGAGAGTCGACGGGCAGAAGTCTGGCGATTATCAAGCAGGATCAGAAGGAGATTGGTGATCTGGGCTTGGTGGCGGTCAAGAGCAGGTCGACGCAGCCGACCATGTTCAAACCAAAGCCATTGACTGTTAGGGGTGTGCTGAAGGGGCTGATGGGCATTGCCACGACAACGGGCAATGGAGCTCAGGGGAGGAAGGTGGATGGGATCAAGAAACTGCTTTCCCAGGCTGATGCCAACGGGGCGAAGAAGGTTGATATCACCAAGGACAAGGGCGGGCCGAGTGAAGCCAAGTATCTGGTCAGGTTCCTGGAGGGGAAGCTGAGATTGGGTCTGGCGGAGAAGTCGGTCATTGTCAGTTTGTCACAGGCGGTGGTTGCGCACGAGGCGGCTCAAAAGGGGGTTGCGCCCAGTGCGGCTGACTTTGAGAAGGGCGAGGCGATCCTCAAGACTGTCTACAGCGAGCTGCCAAGCTACGATGTCATCATTCCGGCTATGGTTGAGCACGGGATCATGAACCTGAGGGATCACTGCAAGTTGAGACCTGGTGTTCCCCTCAAGCCCATGTTGGCCAATCCTACCAAGGCTATCACCGAGGTTCTGGACCGGTTTGAGAACAAGCTTTTCACTTGCGAGTACAAGTACGATGGTGAAAGAGCGCAGATTCACTATGTGGCCAAGGACACTGCTGAAGAGCTCAGCCAGTCGGCCGCGAATGCCAGCAAGGAGGTGGGTAATGGTGTGGCGGCGATCTTCTCGAGAAACTCGGAGGATCTGTCCAAGAAGTACCCTGACGTCTTGGCCAAGCTGTCTACTTGGGTCAAGGACGACACGAAGAGCTTTGTCTTGGACTGTGAGTCGGTTGCTTGGGATGTGGATGAGAAGAAGGTGTTGCCTTTCCAGCAGCTGATGACGCGCAAGAAGAAGGACGTCAAGATTGAGGAAGTCAAGGTCAAGGTTTGCGTCTTTGCGTTTGATCTGCTTTATCTGAACGGGGAGGCGGTGGTGAACAAGTCGCTCAGGGAGAGGAGGGAGCTGTTGCACAAGTCGTTTACTCCTGTCGAGGGCGAGTTTGCGTTTGCGACGTCGATGAATGGGCAGGAGCTGGATGAGATTCAGACGTTCTTGGATGAGTCGGTCAAGGCTTCGTGTGAGGGGTTGATGGTGAAGATGCTGGATGGGGAGGAGAGTGGGTATGAGCCTAGTAAGAGGTCGAGGAATTGGTTGAAGGTGTGTTTGGTCTTGCATTCCACATCGTCACAGGCGAGCAAAAGTGTGCTAATGTAAAACAGATCAAGAAAGACTACCTCGCCGGCATCGGCGACTCGCTCGACCTCGTCGTCCTCGGTGCCTACTTTGGCAAGGGCAAGCGCACCTCTGTCTACGGCGCCTTTTTGCTGGCGTGCTACAACCCCGGCACGGACATGTACGAAACGGTCTGCAACATTGGCACCGGCTTCAGCGAGGCTGTGCTCGAGGAGCTGCATGCCCAGCTCTCCAAGATCACGATTGATCGCCCCAAGCCGTTTTACGCCCACAGCAGCGGGGGCCAGCACCAGCCGGACGTGTGGTTTGAACCTAAATATGTCTGGGAGGTCAAGACGGCGGACTTGACGCTGAGCCCGAGGTACAAGGCGGGGATGAAGGAGGGGGTTGACCCGACCGGGGAGAAGGGGATCAGCTTGAGGTTTCCGAGGTTTATCAAGGTGAGGGATGACAAGAAGCCGGACGAGGCGACGAGCAGTCGGCAGGTGGCGGAGATGTATCGGAAGCAGGAGAGTGTGAGTAAGAGCAAGGGGCCGAGTGTGGATGATGATTTTGAGTATTAGGTACTCATTGGAGGAGGGGTGTTTCTTGTTGTATAATCTTTTCGTCTTCATCATAAAAGTGAGGCATGGGAGTTTAGATGATAATCAGTTGTTGATATTGAGAGTTGTGGTGGGGGTTTTTTTTGGTTTTTTTTTTTTTTTTTTTTTTTTTTTTTTTTTTTTTTTTTTTTTTGGTGTTTGCATGTCTATGATTGTTTTGCATGTGTGGTGTAGTGGTCATTATCAATATTCTATTTAGCTTTGGGATATATGGATGCCATGAACTTGATTAACACCAGCTTGAGAGGTGGTGTTGATGAAAATATGGTGGTTTCTTTTGGTTTTTTTTTCAGTTTTGGGCATTTTTGGTTTTTGGCAAAGTGTAGTATGTATGGTCATGCCTGACAAGAAAAAGAAAAAAGAGGAACTGGTGTCTACTTTAGTTTTTCTACATCAATTGATGGAGGTATCTTACCTTTGGGGAGGTCGGTAGGTAAATGGTAGGAGTTGGGTAACGGGGTTTGGGAAGGATATTTATGACGATTGAAAGGGGTTGGTGATGCTGAGAATGAGGTGAGCGGTGATTTTGGTGGAACATATCAAGGGAAGGGTGTAGATAAGAGAGGAGGAGAAAACATGGCGGGTTGTGAGATGAGTGAAGGCTTGCTGATATACCTTTTACCGAGTGTGAAATGACACTCGGGGTTTGGTGTGCTGTGGTAGTCAACTCATGAAAATAGTATAAAAAGACAAAAATTTGTTCTTGTCCAATTCACCAGTGTGCTTTGTTGATGAAGGGGTCTCTCTGGGAGAACTTTGCGATGTATGTTTCCCTGTGACACCTCACAGACATGATCATAAAGTAGGGGTGATGTTGGTATAATCAGTTGTAATGTTACATGCCTCTTTCTCTTTTGTACATGCAGCGAATAAAGCCACGGGCTGTCTCTCTCTCTTTTTAATACATCATCACACATGTTGTTGGTCTTGCCCAACCCATCCAACCTCTCCTCTTCCTCTCCCAGTCAGATATAGCAAGACCATTCTTTCAAACAATCCAAATCCCCCACTTCCCCTCCTTACTCCATCACCACAGTAGCACCCAACTCCTTCATCGTCGCGACAATCTTCTCGGCCTCGTCCTTTGGTACCGACTCCTTCATGAGCTTGGGCGCGCTCTCGACAAACTTCTTGGAGTCTACTAGGGAGAGACCGAGCAGGTTCTTGACCTCCTTGATGACCTTGGGCTTGGCGCCGGCGTCGAAGGCCATGAGCTTGACGGAGAAGAGGGTCTTTTCGGCGGCGGCCGGGGCGGCGTCCTCGGCTTCTTCGACGGCAGCGGGGGCGGCGGCTGGGGCGGCGGCGGCAGCGAAGCCACCGACGGGGAGGTCGGGGATGTTGAGGCGGGACTATAGGTAGGGAAGGAAAGAAAAAGGCCACGTTAGTGACATGGTCTTCTTGTAATGTAGTCCCGTTCCGGTTATTGAATTCGGTTATCGGTGGTGGTAATTTGATATTGCCCCTCCAACCGTGTATATAATCCCCTCCTGGGAACATAATCCTACCTTCAAGCTCGCAACAAGGTCGGCCGTCTCCAAGAGGGTCAATTGGCTAATCTGGTCGACGATGGCCGAGATCTTGGGGCTGGTCTCGGTTGAGTTGTATCTCCTTTGGAGGGCCACGGCGGAGGAGGTACGGAGGGGTGTTCTGACGACGGTGGTGCGGAGCTGGCGGGCGCAGGATTGCGCGGCGTATCTGCACGAGACGGACATTTTGATCTGGATTGTGAAGTGAGAGGTTCGAGGTGGTGAGCTTGTGGGTGGCTACGGCCGTGCTGGTTCTCTTCCGTCTTCGTCGTCGTCGTGAATCCCGGAGATTTTTTCGCCCGTCGTTGAACGAAAAGTTCTGGCTGCCGGTTGATCGCCTGGGAAAGTTGGGCCCGCAGGGGTGTTCGTCTGGAGAGCTTGGCAATACGATGTTTAAGAAAGCTTGGGCCATCTGCTCTGTACCTTAAAAGTCTTGCACTGGAGCAAAATAAATCCGGTGTGCTGAAGGGCGCTGTTTTGGCGCTGTGACTAGGGACGGCTTCAGTGCCCGGTGTGGTGCGCTGTGTGGGTCACCCCCAGTCGCTGAAATGTTGCAGGTGGGCACTGGCCGCTCATGCATGGAGGTCGAGAATTTGGAGACTCGGGCCCTTGCCCCACCTTTTTTTTTTTGGCGATTTGGAGAAGGTGAAGAAAAAAAAAGTTGGGATAAGGAACGACATTTTTTGATAGTAGCAAACAAGTCTTTTGTTTTACAAGACTTGATACAAACAATTCCACGCCATTTTCGACGGATCCTCGATCATGGCCACCATCGACGTGAGCCTGCAGAGACAGTCTCTGCTCCGAGACGCGGCCACGCTCCAATTCCTGCCGCGGGAACTGGTCCTTATCATCCAGGACCACCACACTCACTCGAGCCAGCTCTTAGAGGCCATCGCGACGGCCGCCCTCATTGCGCCCGCCACAGACAGGATATTCGCCCACTTGGACAGCTGTTTTGCCGACATCTGCGCCAGATGGGTCTTGTCCCACCCAAAGCTCGATGTAAAAGTTTTTGCGTCGTTTGCCAGGATCTTGCCGTTTGCACCGGCTCTGTCTGTGTTTCTTACATCGCATATTCAAGGTGGAGGAGGAGGAGCCGGAGGACTGAGACCAGGACAGCAAATACTCGACCACCTTGACTTGACATCGTTTAGTGATATCGACCTCCCCATTATTCTCCTCGCCTTATGGAGACTCAATAATTTTGACAAGAGAACTTATTCACCACTCTCGAGCCCGTCACAGCTCCAGTCTCTGTTCACCACCCATGCCAACCCTGCAGTGAGATGTCTCGCCATCCGGATTTTCTGCCAGCTCCACGATGCCTCGGACCAGAAGCTGGAGGCTTTGTTCACCAAATACATTGCCAAGGACACCAGCCTGATTGCGGATTTGGACGGGAGAAGGGCGGATTATTCGTTTCTGAGCCTGTATGAGGATGCGAGGAGCCAAGAGGTCCAGCGCCTTCGCAGTAGTATCCAGACTGAGCAGCAGCAACAGCAAGAAGGACCGGTTGCTCCAGTAATTCAAAATCTTACCCCCCTTGTTGTCACATATGGCAAGACTGTCCTTCCACGGCCCCTCGGTCCTGTGAACACGCCAAGTACTCTCGCGCTCACTTCGACGACGGTGGAAAATCTCGAGAATCTCGGCAGGCTTTTGCAGAAGCCAGGTCCCGTTTTGCTCCATGGTCTGTCCGGTGCGGGCAAGACATCGTTGGTTCAGGAGGTTGCGAGGGAGTTGGGGAAGCAGGGTGAGATGGTCACGCTGCATCTGAACGAGCAGACGGACGCCAAGATGCTTCTTGGCTTGTACACGACAGATGAGAAGCCCGGTTCCTTCTCGTGGCGCCCAGGTGTTTTGACGACAGCGGTCAGGGAAGGAAGATGGGTCTTGATTGAGGACCTGGATCGTGCGCCGACCGAGGTTATGAGCACGCTGCTGCCCCTTATTGAGCGTGGAGAGCTTCTGATTCCGGGGCGTGGGGAGAGGATACAGGCTGCCAGAGGGTTCCGGATGTTTGCGACGGTTCGGACGTTGATGGGAATGAACGACAAGGAGAATCTACCGAATATGATTGGGCAGCGGTTGTGGCAGTTGCTGCATATCAAGGCTCTTCCGAGGGATGACTTGAGGGAGGTCATCGTTGGGAGATATCCGTTGCTGCACAAGTATACGGTTGGGATTTTGGCCGTTTTCGACAGGCTGGTTGCTTCGACGAGTGGTTCTTCGAGGCTGTCTCTTGGGCGGACGGTGTTGGACCGGCCCTTTGGTACGAGAGATCTTTTGAAGTGGTGCGGGAGATTGGACGATATCCTGCGCTCGGCTGGTGTCAAGACTGGGGAGGAGCCCGTCACGGATACTACGAGAGACCGGATGTTCCTGGAGGCTGTGGACTGTTTCGTCAGCAACATTCATGAAATTGCTGCTCGCAATCTGTTGATTCAAGCTATTGCCAAGGAGATGCATCTTTCCCCTGAACGCGTTCGGCATTATCTCTCACATTACATCCCCGATATGGTGGACTCCGAGTCGCGGCTGACGATTGGCCGTGCCTCTTTTGTCAAGTCACGGAGGTCTGGCAGGATCACCAAGTCAAAGAGACCTTTCGCTACTACCGTTCATGCCAAGAGGCTGCTCGAGCAGATTGCCGTTGCTGTCAAGCACCGTGAGCCCCTTTTGCTCGTCGGTGAGACCGGCATCGGTAAGACTACGGTGGTTCAGCAACTTGCCGAGTCGCTCGGTCACCAGCTCGTTGCCGTCAATTTGTCTCAACAAAGCGAAGCCAGTGATTTGCTTGGTGGTTTCAAGCCGGTCAGCGCCCAAAGTCTTGCCATGCCCATCAAGGAGGAGTTTGAGGATCTTCTTGAGAAGACCGGTGTCTCTGCTGAGAAGAACAGGGAATATCTCGATCGTATTGCCAAGAGATTTGTCAGGGGCAAGTGGAGAGAAGTCTCCAAGGAGTGGCGGAAGGCTCCCAAGATGTTTGAGGCTATTCTTGAGAAGCTGGAGAGCGCCCAGACCAAAGATGAGCCAGCCGAGGAGCAGCCAGCCAAGCGTCGCAAGACTGGGTCGACAAAGCTGCAACGGTTGCGTGACTTGAGACCTCGCTGGGATACCTTTTCTCAAAGTCTTGATCAGTTCGATAGGCAGGTTGCCAGCGGGGGTGCTTTCGCCTTTGCCTTTGTCGAGGGCAAGATTGTCAAGGCTGCCAGGAATGGCGACTGGATTCTCCTGGACGAAATCAACCTTGCTTCGGCCGACACGCTGGAGAGCATTGCTGGTCTCTTCCAGACGACACCCTCTCTTCTTCTCTCAGAGACGGGAGAAATCGAGAGGATCCAGGCACATCCAAACTTTCGTGTTTTCGGCGCCATGAACCCAGCCACCGATGTGGGCAAGCGAGATCTCCCACTCGGTCTGAGATCTCGCTTCACCGAGATATATGTTCAGAGCCCCGATCGGGATAAGAAGGATTTGCTTACCATCATCAAGACTTATCTGAAGGGCAACAACAGCACCATTGACCGTTTGGCTGATGATGTTGCTGATTTGTATCTTGAGATCAAGCAGAGGGCAGAGGCGAAGCAGTTGGTCGACCAGGCCAGTGAGGTTCCTCACTTCAGTTTGCGTACCCTGACGCGGGTCCTGACATACGCCAACGATGTGGCTCCTGTGTATGGACTCGACCGTGCCTTGTATGAGGGTTTCTGCATGTGCTTTACTACTCTGCTCAGCGAGGAGTCGGAGCGCACAGTCAGGCCGCTTATCCACCAGCATCTCCTCAAGAAGTCCAATATTCTCACTCAACCACCGAAGAGGCCCCTCGATGGAAAGCCTTATATCTCCTTCAAGAACAGGGACAAGAACCATGAGTACTTTTTGCTCCAAGGCAACCACGAGCCCATTGTGCGAGACGACTACATCATCACTCGCTACGTTGAGCGCAATCTCCTCAACCTTGTCCGCGCCACCTCTACTCGGAGGTACCCCATCCTCATCCAAGGTCCCACATCCGCAGGTAAAACAAGCATGATTGAGTACTTGGCCAACTACACTGGCAACAAGTTTGTCCGCATCAACAACCACGAGCACACCGATCTCCAAGAATACCTGGGCACTTATGTCTCTGACTCGGAAGGCAAGCTCAGGTTCCAGGAGGGTTTGCTCGTCCAGGCCATGCGGGAAGGCTCCTGGATCGTGCTCGACGAGCTGAACCTGGCGCCTACCGATGTCCTCGAAGCTCTCAACCGCCTGTTGGACGACAACAGGGAGCTGCTCATCCCCGAAACTCAAGAGATTGTCCGGCCGGCAGAGAACTTTTGTTTGTTCGCCACGCAGAATCCCCCTGGCTTGTACGGTGGCCGCAAAGTCTTGTCCCGCGCTTTCAGAAACAGATTCTTGGAGCTTCACTTTGATGATATTCCAGAAAGCGAACTCAAAGAGATTTTGCAGCAGAGAAGCAGGAACACGGCCCCTTCTGACTGCGGGAGAATCGTCAACGTTTACAAGCAGCTCACCCGCCTCCGTCAGGAGTCCCGTGTTTTTGAGCAAAAGAACTCTTTTGCTACGCTGAGAGATTTGTTCAGGTGGGCTCTTAGAGAGTCGGAGACACGACAGGAGATCGCCGAGCATGGCTACATGCTTTTGGCTGAGAGAGTCCGCAAGCCGGAGGAGAGGGACGAGGTGAGGAAGGTTATCGAGCAGGAGTTCAGGGTCACTATTGACTCGGCCAAGCTGTATGATCTTGACACTGCGCCTGAGCTGAGAAATGTCAAGGCAAGGAATAGCCAGGGGGTTATCTGGACGAGGGCGATGAGGCGGTTGTATGTTTTGGTCAAGAGGGCGATCAAGAACAATGAGCCGGTTTTGCTGGTGGGTGAGACGGGTTGTGGTAAGACGACTGTGGTGCAGTTGCTGGCCGAGTTTGAGGGGCAGGGGTTGCATATTGTGAATGCGCATCAGAATACGGAGACGGGGGATTTGATTGGTAGTCAGAGGCCGGTGAGGAATAGGGGGGCGGTTGTGGATGCTCTGTTCCGGGATTTGGAGGAGCTGGCGGGTTTGCTTGGGAGGGAGAGGGGGGCTTTGGAGGAGTTGCAGGAGTGGTATAGGACTCTGCCGGCTGAGGAGCTGGCGAGGGTTCCGGAGGCGTTGAGGGCAAAGATTCATGCTGGGATCAC